AGTGACAACGCCCCGTCGAGCATCATGTGAAACGCAATTCTCTCATTGCCATGAATGTATTGCGCTGTAGTTAGCCTTGGGCATGAGCTGTCTGGCGACGGACGCACGGTTCAGTCATCTGTGATTTTATTAAATTAATAGAAAGACTGAGGAGGGTTTGGAATATGCACCCGACTCAGCCTTTTGCAGAAGGCCACAGACGACACTTGATGACTTCACAGGTGTTTTCTCAAACGTTCTTGACAGGGATGGCTTCGGCCAGAATTGCGAGTGTTTCAGACAGTATGAAAGAAATTGGAAGACAGAATTGCACTCGAGTTTCCTAAATTCTCCATGACAGCCAGGCCAATATGGCACTTACAGCAGCCGGGATGTCAAAATTGCTCCTTCTTTTTTCACCGCATGAAGACGTGTATTTATTTTTTTGTAAACATCTTGAATTGTCCTCTTCTATTTTCCCTTCATTTCAAATCTGCCAAGTAATGAATGAATGTAGGTAGGTATGTGCATGCGTGTGTGTGTGTGTATGTGTGCTCGCAGACACTCTGAAGCTCTGCCACTTTTCTTGTCTTATTCTGGACATTTGCTCGGCAGTTGACACAGACAGAGTCCAGGTCCCTGTGGAGACTTAAGACTGGAGGGCCGCTGCCAGAAACTGTCACAGACAAACACAAAATACCTCCCTAAACAGCTGCTTTGACCTGCTTCCAAAAATGTGGCCGCTGTTTGATTCTGCAGGAGAGTGAGGGGTTGGCTGTCTTGGCTGGGCCGGTGTTTCATACAGAAGGGGACATGGTTGTAACACAAATCTTCACAGCCATCTGTTGCAAAGCTCGACAATGTTGATCTTTTTTTTTTTTTTATCTGTAGAACAAACAAATGTGCTGAGCCTGAAGCAGCAGGAAGGCTCAAAGAGAACAGGAAAGAACATGAAGGAAGAGGCCAAGGAAGATTGAATTTCAATGATTTATCCCTCAAGTAAAGTTTCTAAGGAATAAGTGCAGATGTTTGAGTGTTACCTGCCACTAAGCATGTAACTTGGTCTCCGGGCTAGCTAAATGTAATACATGAAGGAAGTGTCAGAGGGAGGAAGAGACCGTGGGGAGAATGGGTCAAAGGCAGGACAGAGAAATCAGAGAACATTTATCTAATAATTTTGCTATTTAAAGTGGTCCAAGTTGTTAAAACCACTTTTAGCTTGTTGGTGAGGATCTAACGTACCAAAACGTCTGCGTTGTCTCCAACCTGCTTTAGTATTGTTGTAATGGCAATGGAGAAGCAGATCTTTCTGGGAAAAGTTGGTATAGCACATCATAAGCAAGACACTCCACCTTAAATGTGCATGTCTCAAACCAATTCAACATGAACGTTGATGGTAGCAATGCTAACCATAGAGCCATGCAAGTCTGAGCTACAGCAAATGTCCTTGTTGGATGAGAAGAGAAGGATGATTGAGCAGCACTCATGTTCCAGGAGGTACTGGTAATGTCCAGACTTTGACTGAATGCCACAGCTTTCGATCCATGTCCCCGTCCATAGATCTACCAGCCCCACTCCACCGCCCGCCTAGCACTCAACTCACCGAACACCCATTACGTTTCTCGTTTGTCTGCACGCCTACAACAAGAATCTTAAGTAAAGTCATCTGAACGTCAGAAACCTAACTAGATAAACAAAGTTACCAATAAAATGCATCGAGTACCATGAAAGAGAAAAGGAATGAACTTAACAAGCACTCAAGTTTCATTTCAAACTGGGAAAGATTAAAATAAAATACAATCAAAACTGTGATGAGTTTAAAGCATTCAAATTGCAGTGAGGGGTCCATTAATGCACATTAACTCACAAATCACCGACGCTTCCTTTCCTGGTCAGGGAGGAATTTCTGATAGTGTGATCTGTTGTGAAACGTAGACTCCGATCTGCATTGTAGTAACGGAACAGTTTCCTGTTTCTCGGCCCAACTTAATTTATCATTTCAGTCCGGTTGTTTTCCAAAAAAAAAAAAAAGAAAATCGCGAAAGTAATACCACTATACAACAGTAATGACAAACACAGTTTTACCAATTATAGGCCTATTTCTCTACTGCCTCAATTCTCCAAAATTTTAGAAAAAATTTTTAATTCAAGATTAGAAAAATACCTTGAAAAACATCAAATAATAAATGAGGGTCAGTATGGTTTCAGAACGCAAAGAACCACTTCAATGGCGATAATTGAGGCAGTAGAAGAAATTACTAATGCACTGGATAAAAATAAATATGCAGTTGGTATTTTTGTTGATCTCAAAAAGGCCTTCGACACAATCAATCACTCAATGTCATTGGATAAATTGGAAAAATATGATATTCGAGGGAAAGCTGGTAACTGGTTAAAAAGTTACCTAACAGGTCGGGAACAATATGTTAGCATAGGGCATTACCATTCAGAGAAACATGGTATTACATGTGGTGTTCCCCAAGGGTCAGTGTTGGGACCAAAACTTTTCAATGTATACATA